AATATTACGTAATAAATTGCGCAATATTATGTCCAGACCGTAATTCTTGCGCAATATTACGGGCCGTAATATCTTACATAAGATTACGTTTATATAATTTGCTGATGTATATAGCTTTTACAACACATATAAAAGGTATAAAAAGTACTAAATATATAAAAGATATAAAAGGTATAAAAGATACAAAAGGTATAAAAGGTACAAAAGGTATAAAAGATACAAAAGTATAAAAAGTACAAAAGGTATAAAAGGTACAAAAGGTATTATAGTAAATCTATTTCTTGAATTATTTAGCTAACCGATAGTCCGGTTGTCTTGTATTGTAGCTCGTTTCAATTATTATAATCTTCTAGATCTAATAGAGATGAAATCTCTAATATGTTCTATAATGTTAACACATTTTATAACAATAGTTTAAAATTAATAAATAGAATTTAAGTCTTTGTACTAGATTTAATACATTTATTAAAATAGCTAGCAGCTTTAAAATACTATAAATCCAATTTTTTTTATATTCAAAAAATTTGGTTAATATTTTAATATAGTTTTTTAAGAAAACATTTATTTTAATAATAATTTTTTTAAAAATTTTTTTTTAAATTACTATTTTTTAGCAAATTTAATATACTAATTTTAAACATCCTATATGTTAACATTAGTTATAAAATTATTAATAAAATTTATAAATTTAAAGTTTTACAATATTAAACTATTAAAAACTTAAAAACTTTTTAAAAAATATTATTATTTGTATTATAAAAATTATAACTTTATATTATAAGATATATATAGTAATATTGTAGATTATTGCTATTTTTGGTATTTTATATGTTTTTTGAAAGTTAAAATAATTTTTAAAAAATATTTTATATAATAATTATTATTAAATTTCAATAAAAATTGTAAAAATAGTAGTTTTGTTTTAAATAAAAAAAATTATTAAATTTAAATAATAAAATCACAACTTGTATATATACTAAAATTTTACAATTTTTTAATATATCGATATGAAATTTACTAATTAAATTTTTGAAAAATTTCAAGAATTCAAAGAGCTATAAAAAATTTAAATAAAGATTTTAAAATATAAAGTTTTAAGTACAAAGTTGAAACTTAATAATAAACCTATAACAACTGTTAAATCTATAATTAATAATTAAAATTAGCAGATAATCAGGCTTAAAGTGTGTCATAATCTAGTACAATGTACTAAATATAGATGGGTAAATCCTATCGCTATCCATTAATAATAATGTAGTTCTAGTGAAATTCTTGATTTTTTATCAACTTCATATAATATAGTAATTTATAAAAAAATGCTAGAACTTTGTATTAATGATTGTTTAGTGCAATGTTGTTAATTTTCCTTCCAGTGGGAAATTTTTGACCTTCCAGTGGTGTAAACGTTCCAGTGATAACACTGAGCAATGCTTTCGATTTAGTGATTACGCATTTGCTTTATCGCTTCAAATGGCTGATAATAACGATAAGAGTCAAAAAAAAAACAAATGACCAGATTTAGGAAACATGCGGTTCACAAATTTAATATTGCTTATTTGTTTAGTCGACGGGTTGTACAAATATAACCAATAAGATGAATGGCTAATGTCTTTTATGAGTAATAGTTTTTTATTGGTGCAACTAACAATATATACACAACGGTTCAACACTTTTGGTTCAACACCTTTGCATGCTAATACTAATACTAATTTAGAATTCGATATAAATGACCGCTTGCATCGTACATACGTACATGAATTCGTGCAACATACAAAAGGACATTCAAACAAACAGTTGATTATTAATGATCGACTCATTGAGAAGATTCCAATGGTACCAAAAACACCCAATCAGATCACTACATCATGAGATATCATGATTTAATCAACTCGAATTACAATGTTTTTTGTACAACTTTGAACTTCTTTGTAATACGAATTTAAATGCCATGTTGTTCGCATGTACGTACGTACGAATTTGTGTCATAAATAGTCAAATATGAATATGAAGGAAAATGGGACATTGGTTTATAAATGATTATTTATTTAAATAATAATGTCCTAGTTTCCTTTGGCGTCACTAATATAAACAAATGAAAAATAATAAAAGTAATAGTGTCTTTTCTCTTAATTAATCGACCGAATAAAATAACGAAATACTCGCCTTGTTATTCCCTTGGTATCGGTCTAAGCAAAATCATCAGTGCATACCATTTTTAGTGACGTAAGTCATTTATTTACCTGCGACACTATCTTGTCGTTTCCATAATTTTTAAAACTTAAGCTTAACTAAAAGCGCTAGTTTCTACTATTGTACTACCAAAAACGATAAACTTCTTACTTTTAAATTATTCGTGTTTTATTTTTGATTACTTTAAAAGTCGGTTTTAACACCACACTGTATGTAATAGAATGCGACTCATGGAAAAACAAAGATATGCTTTATATACAAAATTTGCACTCGCTTTCTTATTGCTAGTGATGATATCACTAGTATTGGAAACCCTCTTAAATCACGAAGATATTAAAATACCTAATCAGTTACCTATTGAGTTTAATAATGCAACAGAATTAATAAATGAACTTAAGATCAGACCTACCAATTTCACTAAATGGAAACAAAGACATTATATTACAGGCTATTTAAATAAAGGCCGAAAAATGAGGATATATGTAATTCGGGGTGACTGGTATAAAGGTCAAGACTATTCAAGACTCAAATTTAATCATGACGAAACATTATCAGATTGCGACATACCATGTATCTGGAAAGTAAAAGATTTAAATAGTCTAACGCGAAAAGAACTTAAAAGTGCTGATGCTCTTCTTTGTGTTAACCAACCAGATTTGCCAAAAGAAAAAGCACAGAAAGGGCAAAAATTTATACTATATACTTTAGAGCCTAAAACTCATTGCCCAGAGTGTCATGATCAAGATTACCTATTTGATATCCATGCAACCTATGATGAGGATTCTGATGTACCTACAAGCTATATTAGAATGGACTCCAAACATTGGCGTTCAATATCTCCCTTTAATATAACAGAGCTCTCCGAAAATTCTACATTTGTCTCATTTATTGCTTCCCATTGGACACAATTCAGGGAAGATTTTATTTCAAGCATTGAGAACTATATTCCCATTGCATCCTTCGGTGGTGTTCGCCATAACACTGATTGGGACTTTCATCCAGAATGCGAGAATTTAGGTCTTTTTAGTGAAAAAAATTGTATTATTTCTAAATATCCATTTTATTTAGCAATTGAAAACACTGATGAAAAAGATTATTCTACTGAAAAGCTTTGGGATACATTTAATTTGGGTGTTGTGCCTGTTATATGGGGTGCGCCTAATACTCGTTCTTACTTACCTCATCCTAAATCTGCTATTTTTATTGAAGATTTTAATAGCACTAAAGCTCTTGCAGATTATTTGAAATATTTAATTAGTAATGAGACTGCTTATTTAGAATATCATAAATGGAGAACTATGAAATTATCCGATGAATTTGAGAAGAGATCATACTTGAGTATGTATAATTTTGAATGTAACGTTTGTAGAGAGGTTGCTAGGTTAAAAATTATAGAAGGTGATTAATGATAGAAGTAGCAAGCTGCTATTTTTTTTTAATGTTTCTAGCTGGCAAAGAAATAATGCATAAACACTATTCTTAATTAAATAGTATGTAATTACTATATATATAGTTATTAATAAGGTATCTGCACAACATAGTTGCACCATAATTGATAAATTATTTGCTAATATAATATCTTAATTGTTGTAATTACTAGATTATTGCTTACTATACAATTATTTGTAAACACAATTTTGCTTTTTTTAGTTCCAATGATTAATCAATACTTTTATATGTATTCATTTCTGATATAAAAAACTAAAATTAATGACCTCATTAGTTAGATTACTAGTGATAATAGCTAAATAAAAAAATTTAATTTCTAACCATTGTTACAAAAATTTTGTGTTTAAATTTTCTTTTTTATATTTTCTATATTGTATGTGTTAGTATTTTTTATTATATTTGTTAGTGCTATTGTTATGGAACGACTGTGCATGGGTTGGAACCACAGATACTGGTTTGAGATGATAGATGTTTAGGACCACTAATCTTGGTCTAAGATGGATTTTGGTTTGGAACCACAGATCTTGGTTTCAGACCATGGCTATTTTGCAATGTAATATATGATAGCTAAACTAATAAAGGGAAAGAGAAATCCACTTGAGTCATAAATGAAGTAATAAATAATATACCTTATAAATCGTATACCAACTAAACTATATTCTTTAATAACCCACTATCATAACATTTGTCTTGCATAATCTATACTTGTAACCCTGAACTAATTTGACCTAACGTTAGCAAGTCTTTCTCATGATTACAACACCATTTGCCATAAATTAGATACACAGGTAAAAAATAGCTTGTGTGGCTTAATATATCGATATATATATATATATATTTTAAAAAAGTTTATTTTATAAGCATTAAATGCTAAATCTTATAACTTCTTTATCGACTGGCCCAGCCTGGCTCACAAGGTTACAGGCTGAGGGTAGACCCGTCCATCGACCCGGCTGTTGGGCTGGGCCAGCCTATATCACTAATTATTAGCAATGCAGCAATGTCAGTGCTTATATTTCAGTTAGCATTAATCTTGGAAATCTTCAAAAATTTCAATTTATAGCTTTTTTGTAAATAAAATTGAATAACTTACAAACAAAAATTTTCTTTTATTTCCATTTTTCTAATGCTATATCTAGTTATATGCAAAAATTGGTGATCTGTACAGTTGATTAATATTAAAATTTTCATTATTTATACCTTCTTTCAATTCCTATTAATTACATTTTTAAATAAAATATTTATATTAATTGGTGATCTATGAGTCAACCAGAGAGTGATCATAGTGAAATGTGATGTGAGTTACTTATAGAAATTGAGGTTTTGCAAATATAACATGCACATATTTAAACTTTTTTTTACTAAGTTAATCACCCTTCTGGCTTAAGTAATTTTTGTAGATGCATCTAATGTAGTTAAATAATCTAAATTGTCCTAGCGGATGCCAATATATCCTTTAAAAACATTTCTTTAACTATGATTACTTAGGTTGTTAAATCTAAGAGTTGGATTAAATTGATGCTATGAATACAATTATATAAAAAATGATTAAGTGATCTTGATATAATATATATTTAACTTTAATTAATCTAGTAGTGTTATATAGATCTATGGCATATGCATGGTGAGGTTACACCCAGATTAGAAGTTCCACACAGTGGAATTAAAAATATGATTTGAGAGTTTAAATGGTGCCTACATAGTGGGTGCATGTATAGCAAATAGTGAAAAACCTCTAGTATAGCACTACCACTTTGGGTGAACTACTTAAATTAGACACCAAAAGTGCACATGTAGCTATATGTACTCTCATTGTAACTGAAACAATACTTCTAATAATAAATCACTATTAAAAAAATATTTAACTTCAATAAACTTAAGTTTCTGAAAACTAATTGAAAAAAAAAGAAGTTTATATAGTTTAAGATATATTTTTTAAAGTTTTTTTAGCATTTACCATGCTAATTTAAATGATTTAATTACTATTAGATGTGTTTAACAAGCTTTACAAAAGTCTTTTAAGTTTGAAAAGTAATTAACTTAATAAAAAAGCTTTAGAGTAGATGCATACTTCATTTACAAAACTCTAGTAATAGTACTCTGAGCTATATATAAATAGAAGAACCTCGGACATCTTTGATATAGATTATACTTGAACTTTTTGCAAAAATCTAAATTTGAAAACAAAAAACTGTTTTTGTAATTTTCTCAGCAACTAGGTGTTCAATTTAAATAAACATTTTTTTAAATAAAAGCTCTCAGTAAGACACAACTTTAAAAAAACAATTTATTCAATTCTGATTACTAGATTCTAAGATAATTAAGAAAATGTAAATTTTTAGTTTTTAGCAAATTAGATCAAATCAGTCAAAATCTAGTTATGACCTATATCAGAAATATTCAGAGTCCTGTTAGTGATAGTTTTAGTATTAGTAATATTGGCTAATTGTAGAGCTTCTTCTTGAATAAGTTTAATTTATTGTATATATATATTATTATAGGTAAACTAGCAACTCAAGAATTTAAAATATTGGTAAAATAAAATAGATAAAAGTTGAGAATTGAGAAATAAAACAGAAGCAGATAGGTGTTTAGATATAAGACTGTAAATTATATATATTATTATATTTATATTATATTAAAATATACCCTTACTATACTATAATGCTTATTTTTAATACTACTAGTTAAAAAAAATTATAATGCTAAAAAAGATAAAAAGCATTAATGAATTATATAAGTTGAATATATATAGAATAGTTACTAATGATTAGATATTGTTGTAATTATAAAATTAAATAGGAACCACCAATGGATTATATATTATTATTATCACAGAATTGGTGTCAGAAAGGATAGATAATACTAATAAACTATATAATGTTGAATGTTGTTACTATTATAGAATTGGTGATTATATTTTAGTAACGAGTTATGCAAAATATGAATTATTAAGCGAAAACTTGCAGATATTTTTAAGTTTGAATAGAAAATTAAATTAAAGATACTTTATGATATTATATCTAATCTTGATCATATTTATAATAAAAGATATTTATATCAAGATTTATATCTAGAAAATATCTTGTTAAAAGAATATTATGAGGCATATATTGCCAATCTAGGTTTATCAAAACTATTTGATAAGAAAGAACAAGAAGATCATATTTATAGTGTCTTGTCTTATATTGCTCCAGAACAATTTCAAAGGAAATCGTATATTCAAACAACTGAAGATGGTTTGTGCCAATAGACTATATAGTGTTGGATATTGTTATCTCAGATCCAATAGTTAAATCGAAATTAGTGACATGAAAATTAAACATATCATATTTCCAGAATGAAAATCTAAATTAGCTTTGTGAATTGTATTAAGCTTATTAGTTAAATAATATTCATTATTTTAGAATTTCAATTAAATTCATTTATTGTCTAACAATTTTTGGATACCTCCTACTTCGCATACTCTATAACTATCATCTTTTGGGTTCTTAGTTATTTTGTAAATCACAATAGCTAAATCACCCCATGTTGGTGTTAATTTTTAATCTAAAATATAATAATAATAAATTAAGATTTATACATACTTCTAGAATTATCAAGACTTTTTAAGCAAACGTCTTTTCTTTGGCAAGATATTTTATATTTGCAAATTTGCTAAAGGATATCTATTCAATAATGTCTTTTAAATTCTTTGCATAAAAAAAAGTAAATAAGAAATTTCATTAAAAAAAAAACTCTTACAAGTCAATATGCAGTAGTTAGACTACAACTGCTAATGATTTTTCACCTTCCGATCCAAAGCTTAATACCAGAAGAATTAAAAAAGTATTGTAATATTCTTGCTAAATATATTTGTAAATGCTTTTCCTTCTTCTGATCAAAATTATTATTGAAAAAAACAGTGTGATGTTTTTGCAAAACATACCTGCTAATACTTTTCTTTCTTCTAACCAAAGTTATTACTAGCAAGATTTAAAAAGCCTATACAAAGTATATCTACAAACGCTTTTTTTTCTAGTGTTCTTACAAGTTCTCAGTTTGTGTTTTGCCAGTTAATTGCTAATGATTTCCTCTACCCGAAGATTATTATTAAAAAGATTTAAAGAATTCAATGTGATGTTCTTGTAAAATACTTGCTAAATTATATAATAATAAAATAATAATATATAACATGTATTAGAAAAAAAATGTTCTATGTAGATATGTTTAAAAAAGATCTAAGATCTGCATTGATTATCAATATATATATATTGATACAAATTAATAATACTGTAATATATACATAATTTAAAATCAGGTGGTTAATATAAATAAAAAATTATGCATATTTCTTGAATAATATTTTCAAACCACATTTGCTAGCAAACAATTAAAAAAAATTTAGAAGGTCTATTAACTTGAAAAATTGCAAAACACCTAGGTGTTAGCAGGTCTTCTATAAGTTAGATTCTTGTGCATTTTCAAAAATATAGTTGTATTGAAAAACTTCCATCACTTTGGAAAAAACTATGTTCTTTAAATATGAATAAAATAAATTATGAAAGAAAAACCTGACTAGTACTTGTATAAATTACAATTTGAGATAGAACTTTCTTACAACAATATGGAGGGATATATACTGACTTGGATATATGCACAAAAAGGCAATATTTTATATATTTATATATATTTCTATTTTATAAACTTATAACAATTTTATAAAAGGCTCTTTTGTATTAATTGCTCATGATTCAGGTTCCTTTGTGTTAATATCCAATTCAGAATCTTTTTCACTATTAATTTTTGAAATAGTTGTAGTCAATTCAGACAAGTTAAATAATTCAAAAGTATTTGCTATAAATGATAAAGATTCTAGAGAATTTTTAATTGTTAGATCTACTGTTTTGCTTTGATTGTGATTATAATTTTTAGCATATTTTTGACACATATTAATTAAGTCTTGATTTTTTAAAATCTCAACTTTAGTTGAATTTTTAGTTCAATCGATGAATTCTTGATTGTATCTAACTTTTTTAATACTACATATAGACTGATTTATAGAACTGCAATAACCTTTATCTAGTAGCCTGTATAATCTATTTCATTGGTTTTTTTACTAAAAACCAATAAAATGGGTTATACAAACATTGTTTTGGCCAATTTCATTGGTCAGATAATTAGGTTTATTGGTTAAAATTTTGCTTAATTAACAATAACTTGGGATCCTGTGATTGGATTTTAATGATTTTGGTCTTGTTAGAATCCTCTCAATGAGCTGAACATTTTGGCAGTAAAATTATCCAAAACAGGCTACTAGATAAAAAGTTATTACCAATTCTATAAATCAGCCTATATGAGTATCTATTTGTATAAAATATTTACTATAAAAGCTAATTAGATATCTAAAGTCTTTTTTAGATTTAATGTCAAGTTTTATTGGTTGGCAAGAACAATTTTTTTTACAAATTTTTGCACAAATTAAATATACTAAATATATTGAGCAAGTGTTTAAATGAAATTTTAACTAGCATGTAGGACTCGGCATTGCTCGGGTTTTAGTTTTTAATTTTTTCTAATTCTTAGGTTTCAACTATATTAACTCTTAGAACTTGGTATTTCTAGGTTTAAGTTTTTAATTTTTTGCTAATTCTTAAGCCTATATTAAAAATTTTAATTTTTTTATTTTATATATATTAATTATATATAATTAATTAATAATAATACTTTTAAACTTATATTAAAATTAATAAATTAATTGGGAAGAAATTACCGAACATGCAGGTGAATACATGTGTGGGACGTGGACCACTCTGTTAGGTTTACCTCGTGGATAGATTAGCCTCATTGGGGTTAGTAAGTCCTAAGGTGGGTGCAAAATTAGATTAGGCAATAGTGAACTACCTGTGTATAGTAAGCTGTGCCTCAGATTAGGTAGTATCTATTGGTTTGGAAGTAGGTTATAGTCAGAGGGTTTAAATAGGTACCCCCTAGTTGGGGTAAAGGTACGGCAGATAGTGTAGAACCTTCAGGCAGACTACTTAAATTAGGCACTCAAAAGGTGCACATGTGGCTATATGTACTCTTATTGTAATTAAAAAACATAACTATCTAATAAAATGTTCCCCGGCCAAAGAGGTCACCTTAATACCGAAAAAAAAAAATAATAATAATAAAAATAAAGTATTTTTGCTTAATTATATCTAATAATAAAAAATTTTGGCAATTTAATTAATTTATTTTCTTTTTTTTCTATAGACCTGTTGAGGAATCAGTTATAAGTAGTTCTCTCGAATCTTACTTTTGTCAGAAGGATGATAATTGTTGTAACAAAAATGAGCTTATTTTACCCCAAAAAAGAGGTCCAAAAAATAAAAGAAAAAACAGATTAATACCAGGAGAGCAAGTTCATCTTCGAGATACAATTTCGGATAAGCCTTATTATAAGGTGCAGATTGTTGAAGTTATTAGTGAAAGCAAGATTATTATAGATGTTATTTTCAAAAGCGGTAATATGAATCAATATATAGTTCAATTAGCTGACATAATTGGATATGCTAATGAACAAGTAAAAAAAAAAAAATGAAAGTAATATTTCTTTATATATATCGATATACATATATTTATATTAATGGGATAAATATGTTTTATAGTCTAACCCGTCATTTAAAGTTTTTTATAGAAACGCTGTTGTTTATACAATGCCATATGGAGGCGAGATGCACTTAGCTTCCACCTATCTAGTAGATACAAGCTTCACACTTATCCAAAGTGTTTTCACTCAGAAAAATATTTATAGTCAAGCTGCAGCTTTTGCCATGGCTGATCTCACTTCACATACACATCTTCTTATTAAAGTTTTTAACCGAATGAAGCAGAAACAATGGGTAGATGCCAAGTTTCTTTGGGTTGAAAATTTACCATCATATAATAAGTTAAATACAAGTTGTATAAACTTATTTGGAAGTCTTTCAGAGCTATTTTTTGAGCAGTTCTTTCGTGATTTCTTGGACTGGAATCTTCTCAACATCAAAAACACAGTAACAACTGTTTGTGATTCAGATTACTACCCAAAAAAATCTTGACTTTTATGATATTGTGCTTATATAAGTGATGATTTTTTATCAGCATTCCTAAATATAGATTAATAATTTATTGCCATAGCTATATATCGCTAGTCTATCTGGAGTTTCAAATCATGCTTACAAATTAATAAAATTAATAATTTGTAAGCATAGTTTTGAAACTCCACATAGACTAGCGATGTATCGCTACAGCAATAAATTACAAAAACCAATTTTTTTATTAGAAAACCACAACTATTAGAGTTATCAGAAAAAGAGATAATTACTTCAAAAATTGTCTAAAGCACTGGGAAGAGCCCTGTATTGTCCCTGCGGAGCAGAATTTGTAACTACGAATGGAAAAACCCCCAAAAATATTCCTATAAATTTCTTCAAGGTTGATAAATATATATTAGTGGAAAGTGGAAAGATCAAGTAAGTGATTTATTTACCCTCTACTTACTTTTTAATATATTATTTACATATATACATGTATATATATAATTTTTAAAAATATATACCTATGTGCAGGTAAAGCTACTTTGACAAGACAAATTGACCAATGACTACCTTTAATTCTTGTGGTTAATGTTGCAAAAATTAATATTAATAATGAGAGATTTTATCTTGAAAACAAAGATCTTTCTGAAGAAATTAGGTTTTCCTTAAAAGACATATACATAAAACAAAGATAAATCTTAATTTCAATTCTGCATACTAATTTATGGTATAGGCTTTACTTATTTTTTATTTTTTATTTTTTAATAGATACCATCTTATAGGGGCTTCATTTTGCAATAGTAACCATCATGTTGCTGATATTCATTTTGAAAATGTAAAAAATGCGGGCTGGTATCAATATGATAGTTTGGAAAAAATCTATCGTGCAAGAGCAATGTATATAGGAAGTTCATGCCTATCTCACAAAGATGGCTATGCTATAGATTTCACAATTTATATAAAGATTTGAAGTATAAAGAAAATCTTTACAAAAATTGTTTATAAATAAAAATTTTGCATTTAATAAAGAATTCAATAAATAGAGATTCTCTAAATTTTGTTAATTTTCATATATGGGGTTTCAGAATTAACTTATTTTAAAAAATTATGCAAATAAATATATACTTTTAAAAAATTAAAAATTATAGGTCATTCATTTTGAAATAAATATCACTTATTTTATTTGTAATCAGGACGTCAAATTGTTAAT